GTGATGCATGCTCCAGGAGACGGTCCTATACTCAGGCCCAGGCAGCAGCACCAAGCGGGCTCAGTGGGTTTAAAGACAATGCTCCTGAAGTTGGGAGGGGAAAGTGGTGGAGGCGTTGGTAGAATGGATTGGGGTGGGTTTGATTAAAATATGTTACGTGCGTGTATGGAATTCCTAATAAAAGGAACTTAAAAATAAAACCACCACTTCACGATTTAGTAAAAAAATAGGAATAAGCTGTCAAGGTGTGATAAGTGAGACAACAGTAGTTATGAAAACACGTGGTAGCATCATGAATGATAAAATAAACATAGAATTTTTAAAACAGAAAGTGATTATAAAAATTTTAAAGAAGACACTGAAAATGGCAAAAAAAAAAAAAAAAGTTTAGAAGCCCATAAAAGAACATGCCATAGGTCTGGTTTGTCATAGATAAAGCCGCGGGTAGCCTGCAGAGCGCCTCTGATAAAAAGCTATGGAAAACTGCAATGAAAAGCATGGGTTAGGGTAGGTGTGAAGACATTTATAGTTTGATTCTGGCTTTACAATGTGTGAGTGTAACGAGCATTGCATGTTGGTGGTTGGCATGGAATGCCATCCTAAAAGCCCCGTGAGTGTGTTTCCTTTAAATCAGGTTCAAGTCGAGCTTTTCAAGACGGTTGTTTTCTGAGTTTTAGCTGATTTTTACCTACTGTCAATTTATTCTAACTTCAAGCCAATCATAGAGGAACAAAACTGCTAAGTGACAGCAAGTAACACACCAAGGCAAACAGTTGCAACTGTATCAAGTTCTACTCAGGAGGAAAAAAAAGTCCACCCAATGAGATTGAGTGACACAGCCTATGTTACAGGATCAGCAGGAAACGTTTGCATGAATTTGAAATCCCTTTGAAACACAATGCAATACTGGTTGACTTAGCGATGGTTTGAAAACTCTAAGTAATTTGTTATGTTTAAAGACTTTAAACATGTAATACTTTAAGGAACAAACACCAAAATCCCCAATGCTTTGAATTTAGTAAAGGAGTTACACCTATCCATCATAACTCCTTTTAAATGAAATGTTCTCTGCATCACTGCTGGCCACCTCTGGGTGTGAAGTGGCCTTCCTTGCATGTTACTTTGTGTTTTCATAGTGGCTAGTGATGTGAGCATTTTCTTTTTACCATTTCTATATTTTCTTTGGAGGAAAAAAATGTCTGTCAAGAATTTTGCCTGTTTAAAAATTTTAGATTATTTGCTTTTATATTGAGTTATGAGAGTTGACTATAGGCTGAAACAGAAGTACATTAAAATAGACTAGCTATTAATACACAATTAAAATGTCAAAAATATGATATATGAGATGTTTAACCAAGATGGGCAGGGATATGAAATTAAAGGCATCTAGGTTGAGAAGAAAGCAGAGCATATTGATTTTCAGATTATATAAATTGCATAATAAAGGTTTAAGGGATACACTAAAAATTATTAGAACTAATAAAACATCTCAAAGTTGAGAAGGTATAAAATAAGTATTTGAATATTAAATACTTTTTCTAGGCAAAGTAAAACTGGCATAATAATTCAGTTTATAATACCATCAAAAACAATAAAATTAACAGAAGTTTAACAAAAGTGAAACCTATGTTCTGACAATTACAAAATATGGAAAGAAATTAATTAATATCAAAAGAAATGAAAAGACATCTTGTCATGCTTGGAAAGGTTTAATGATATTAAGATCAGGGCCAAGAACCTGTGGCTAACCAGGTCATAGGCCCTAGGGGAGAACATGAGACTTTTACTCTGCTAAATGGACATAGCATTAAAGCAAATCCTAATGGCTTATCTTTTTATCCATAGATTAGTGCATTTCTCAACCCTCATCAGAGAAACATCTTTTCATTAGATAGCAGTTAACACAGAGATCCATCATTGGTGGACGTGCAGAGAAAAGGAGGCTGTGGGATACTTAGCCATAAATGGGACATCTGTACCACATTCTCTCATCTCAAGGCTCAGAGATCATTTTGTAAGAGCCAGAGGTGGTAGATAACTACAAGGAAAGTGTTTTCCAGACACAGCAGGGCAATTGCACATAAGAATTCAGTGGCAGCATGTACAAGATCTGCTCAGTCTCAAGCCAGACACAAGTGTATGCAAGAGAATAAAGTTAGGCCCTTGTCTCAAAACACACACAAAAGTTAGCATGGAGTTGATTGTGTGTGTAAATGTGTGAAGTAAAGGTGTATAAAAGTGTATAAACCCTTATGAGGAGTGTGAGTATAATTTTTTTTTTTTTTTTTTTTTTGGTTTTTCGAGACAAAAAAAAAAAAAATTGGTGCCTGTCCTGGATCTCGTTCTGTAGACCAGACTGGCCTCGAAATTACAGAGATCCGCCTGGCTCTGCCTCCTGAGTACTGGGATTAAAGGTGTTCACCACCACCCTCTCCATAGTGAGTATAAATCTTAATGATTGGCTTGCTGAGCATGACACATTTATACAAGAACAATGTATTATTATTATCAGATAATGATAGTCTCTCCAAAACTTGAGGTGGGCAAGTTATTGACAACTTGGCTGTAAAGTTATAAGAAAGTAAATATCACATATTGCTACACATAGAAACATTTGATCATTTACAGGCAAGCAGACAAAATAGTTCATATAATATTTTTGCATACTTGGTAATGTCTCATTTATCTGTCCCACTATATGTTTGACCATCAACCATAAATGAAGCCTCCACTAAAGAGTGCTCTACAGACAATGGCCAGCTGCTTTGGAAATATTAAGGAAACAGATGTTTTAACCACGTTAGTTGAACACTGAATGACTTGAGAATCAAACTTTGGAATTCCATTGGGTGTAAGGGTCTTAATTCATTAGATTTCTAAATAATTTTTGCAAGAAGAATTTCTTCAAAATATTTAGCCACCTCATAAGTCTCAGTGTCTCTTCTTTCTACAAAAGAGAGGAGATTTTTGAGATTGATTATGCTAATTAGGCAAACCTCAGATGTGGATCAAGCGATGGCTAGAAAGCTGTATACTTCTGGTAATGACTATGGACCAAGACCTTCTGGAGTGAAGGAAGCTGACTTTGATGTGGAATATAGGTTTGACTAGGGCCACTGTGCATCATTAGATTCTTCTTATGGATGAGGCTGTGCTGGGTGTTGGTCAAGAGGAGAGGAATGATGGCCATGTTTTCAGTAACCCTTACAGAGGAGACAGATATGGAAGCATTTACAATACTATAATTGCAAAGCTAGAGTCAACTATGTCCAGATAGTCAGAGGAGCCAAATATACTACAGAGGAGATTGTACCAGGAAGCCTTTTGAGGAAAAGAGACCAGTTTCAGGGACTAGGCAGAAGGAAAATGTTGTCCAGATAAAGTGTCAGCCCAGAGAAGACAGGAGACATGAGACAGAATGTGTTTGGGGAACACATTAGTTTTAGTATAACTCCTGGTCATGGGCACTTCAGTGTTTGCAGCAGATATTTTGGTAGCTAATGGCTGGGTTGAAAATGGTGTTATGACTTCACTAAGGAGGTGCACGTTTAGAAAATCATTTATTTCACATAAATGCCAAGGATATCTTTAGATATATTTGTTTTATATTGGGTAATAGTTTTATTTAAAAAGTCAGGCTATAAAAAAATGACAAAATGTTATTGAAGAAAATTCAAAGTTGCTAGCTGTCTGTTCAATGGAAAAAACTCAGCTGTAGGTGGGACATGGCTGCAGCTGGCTCCAGAGAACTCTGGGAACTCGGCTCCAGCTTCCCCAGTGTGGGTGGGTAGAGTTTGTCAACTTTCTCCTTCCACAGAAGCTCAGATTCTTGTTCCTTTAACTTTTCCTCCCACTAATTTCCATTGGTAGTATGTCAGGTCCCGTGGTTTACTTTATCACATTGGCTATGTGTTTCAATTACTATTCTATTGCTATGAGGAGATACTATGACCAAGGCAACTTATAAAACAAAGCATTTAATTGAAGGCTTGCTTATAGTTTCAGAGGATGAGTCCATGACCATGACTGAACACATACTGATATATAGGGGAGTTGGTGGCAGGCAGACAGGTAGGGCAGGCAGATGGGTATGGCACTGGTACAGTAGCTGAGAGCTTACATTTGGTTCACAAATAGCAGGCAGAGAGTCTGGGTCTGGTGTGGTCATATAAAACCTCAAAGTCCACTCCCAGTGACACAATTTCTCCAACAAGGCCACATCTCTTAATCTTTTGTAAACAGTTGGGAATCAATCATTCAAATATATGAGCCTACAGCAACCATTTTCTTTCAAACCACCACAATATGGGACAGGTAAGGCCAGAAAGACCTGGATTCTTTGAGTGTTTCAGGAATCTTTAGGAAAATACTATGTCCCTTGGATACACATCACAGCTAATACAAATGCAGGTTTAAGAAAATGCAGGATGAGAGAAGTCTCAGTTAACACCTGAGAGTTGATTTTTTTTTTTTTTGAGACAGGGTTTCTCTGTGTAGTTTTGGTGCTTGTCCTGGTTCTCGCTCTGTAGACCCGGCTGGCCTTGAACTCACAGAGATCCCCTGCCTCTGCCTCCCAAGTACAGGGATTAAAGGCATGTGCCACCACTGCCCAGCCTGAGTTGATTTTAATATAGAATTCCTAGGAAGAATGTATCAAACAAAAGGCTAACCATGACGTTGAGAAATTGTGGATATTGTCTAAGGAGATGTACTGGGGGCAAGCAGGCCTTTAAAGCTCAGCCTAAAACCTGGTTCACACTACCAGTGTGAGTGTTTTCACACATTAAGGTCAATCTCCAGCAGGTACCTGCCGTGGACCTTCAGGCTAACTCTCTGTCCTTTGGTTACATTATCTCTGTTCTAACCACCCTCCCTTCTTCCTCGGTTGCCTCAAGTGATGTGACCTTGAACCTCTGGCTTCCCAGGGCGGATACATCACAAGTCAGAGGAAAGCGATCTGATCAGGTATCCCCTTCTGGGTCCCCTCTCTCTGGCTGCAGGAAAAGTGATCAAGCAGCCACAGTACAAGCCACAGGGACTGGAGCCTGCAGCCCTGAAAAGACTACATGAAGAAGGAAGAGAATCCTTTTAGCACACTGTCCATGTGCGACTGGCTGGAGAAAGAGGTAGGAAAGCTGAGAGGTGGCCATTGTAGATTTCTTTCTGTTATTCACAGATGTTTTCAAACGTTGAGTTTTGAAACTAGCTAGTAAAAGAAGAAAAAGAACAGATATTCTCAGGTTCTGAGACATAAAAAGAAAGAAAGGATGTTCTTCTGTTCTTGCCGTCTGGCTGGGGAATCCGGCGGGTTGACTTGTAATTTGCAGAAGGGATTTCTCCTAAGCTTTTCTTAGGGGATTCCCCCAGGCTTTCTTGTGCATGTGTGAGATATGGTAACTTATACTATAGCAAGTACACAGGTTTAAATGCAGCTTCTGTGGGAGTGCAGGAACGTAAGAACCGCCGTGGGAAGGCTGATTTGTTAAGAACACGGCCCATAACTGACAGTTGCTTGCTTTTTTTTTTTTTTGAACTGCAATGAAGTGAAAGACCATTGAGCTAATATTGTGTCAAAAACATTTCCCCTAAGCGTTTATTTTTAAATCACAGGGTTTGACCCATACAATAATGGTCAGAAACTTGGATAGTCAGTTGCCAGAATTTATGAATAACTTAACACATATCTGCTATTATGTTGTCACGTTTTAAACGTGTTTAAGTAGAAGATGTTAGGTTCTATTCATTTTAGTTATGGGGAGTATGGGAAGTGGAACAAATGATGCAGTACCCAAATGGAAGAGGTTTCCATTACAGAAACAGTCAAGGCTGGGACTGTCATGGTAAGAAAGAATTTAAGTGCTATAAAAGATTTGAAATGAAACTTTGTATCCCTTTTTTTTAAAAGGTATAGAATGAGGCAATGATTGCGGAGAGTTCATAGCCTAAGGGTCGCCAGTCACCCTCAAACAGAAATGAAGTCTTTTTCCAGGAGCAGAGGGTGATGACTTGGATGGTACAGAGATGTCAGGTTCATGAGGACCATCAAAGACAGATTTAACTGTGGAAAGACATTGTTATCCTTGAAGGTTGTGAACAGAAACTCAGTATGAGTATGTCTTTGGTGATATCCTGTCCTTTCTATATGCCAATAATGAACTGTTTCTATTTTCCAGGTGATAGATAATCACATGTACAGATATCTAGTCTTTGATGCTTCTTCACACATCTCCGTCCTGGTGTGGCTCATGTCCCTCCCCTGAAGCACTCTGTTCATGTGTACTTCATCATTTTCTCTCCTAAGGCAAGGATGTTTCTCTTTCTAAATGGAATTATTAGGTAATAAGTTATGTCTTAGCTTGCTGTGGGAGGGCACAGCATACAAAGTGGTTCATGGGCCAAGTTCAGGATTTTTGATATATATTTGGTTTGAACCCAGGACTAAAGGACTTTCATTTTTGTAAGAAAATGAAAAGAACTAAAACAGAGTGTTGAGACTGGAAATATCAGTACAAATTACCCAAACTACCAATGTCATTTACTTAGATAATGGGTAGCCTGGAAGGCAACTTTGTCTTAAGTCTGGAAGACTCTGACATTCACTGGTTATAAACCAGGACCACAGATTTCCCCAGTGTCCATTCTTATGGTGCCATTATCTTCATAGTTCCTAACTGGGTTGTATGGCTCTGGGTAAGGTAGCTTCATTGAGTGGCAAGGCTTTAGAGAGGACTTCATTCAAACTCTTCCAATGTACACATCCTTTGTCTTTTTCTAAGGGAAGTGAGGGCAGATAATATGGATTTGGATTTAATTCACTCCGGTGCTGAAATTTCAATCAGTTGCAAACAGCTAGTTCTGTCATAGTCACTAGCCAGTAAGCCTCTCTCTTGAGCTCCTGTGTTCACAGCAAGGAATGGACAGGATGACAACATTCTTCCAGGGGCTGCCTCCTTCAATCATGAATCAAAGAGACCTGATTCTTCTATTTGAGTTGGAGACTATAATCCCCTTCTCAATGCCATGAATCTTTAATCAGTGTCATGTGGGGATGAATATTTGCAGTCTCCATTTGTTTCTTAGTTTAATCATGCAGGATGGTTTCCTCTGTGACAGAACCCTCTGTAGGTACTGTGGTAGAAGACCTATTTTTACTTTCCTGAGGTAACTCATAATTGGTGTCCTCTACTGTGGGATGTCTTTCTGTGTGCTGTGAATATGTGTTACTCTGATTGGTTGAGAAATAAAGCTGTTTGGCCTATGGCAAGGCAGCTCAGTGGCAGGTGGGAAATTCAGGAGAGAGACAGGAAGAAGAAAGGTAGAGGCAGAGGAGATGCCATCCCACTGTCCAGGGAGTAGCATGTAATGGCACACAGGTAAAGCCACAGAACACATGGAAACATATAGAAGAATAGAAATGGGTTGAGTTTAGTTATAACAGCTAGCAAGGAGGTGGAGCCATAAGCCATGGCCATATAGTTCATAATTAATATGAGCCTCTGTGTGTTTATTTGGGTCTGAGCTGCTGAGGGACTGGGACTGATCCAAGGATGAGCTACTAAGACATAATTTTCAGTTATGAATATAATAGTGAGTTTTTGTCAAAGGGAAGATTCATATCACCAAGCTTAACAGGGATCCATTTGACCTTGGAGTCATTCAGGAGTAATTTACTCAATTAACAACTCTGGTAGTTAATTGCTTATTTGTTTGAATCTGAGAAAGAAAATTTGAACTTGTTAGCAATTTGATTTCTTAGAAGAATAAAGAAATTACATATGTTTCACTTTAGTGATATCGTTATTGCTATGTTATGAAAGTTAGTTCAAGGAGTTGAAAGAACCAAGTGGAATACTGAATAATAGCTGTACATGCCACTTCCTTAGTTATAAATATTGCTTCTACAAAATAGCTAGCAATAATTGCATGCAGTTGTAATGATAAATATACTAATTATTAAATGACTGTTATGTTGAGTAGATAGATTTGTTGAAACTTAATTAAGTCAGTGGGTACCCTTTAGGTCTATCAGGGTGCATTTGCTATGAAAAAATGATTTATTGCTTGCAGTATATGTGTGTGTGTGTGTGTGTGTGTGTGTGTGTGTGTGTGTGTGTGTGTAAGTGAAGCATTGTTACAAAATAAACATCTTAAAAAGATTGAAATAATAAAATTGGCTCATGATGTCCATCTTTCCTTTTAATTACATTCCAAATATTTTACAGGATTCTCATGTTAGTAAACTAAATAGTTATTAAGAAAGTTCTAACTTGATTTCCCGAGTTGTGGGAATTTGCCTGGACCCTTCTCTTCTTTAAGTCTTGTTTTTTGTCATTTTTAAATTCAGTAATTCTGCCAATAATCTGGGACTGTAACAGTGAAGAAGTTATGGTCTACATTCTAAAGGAGATGATATGGTTGGATGGTTAGACACACCATCCCTTAAGCACCAAGATTGTAGATGAGTACTGAAGACTCCAGATGACATGAAGTGTCAGAAGGCCATACAGGAGTCAGTAAGGACCACTTCCACATTGGGTTCCTAGGGAAGGATGCTGTGGCACAGGGATACCTGAGCTGAGAGGAAAACAACAGGGAGGAACAGTTCATGAAAAACAGTGGAAGAAGTGTTGCACAATGGCATGGGGACAAAATTTGCTTGTTCAGCAACAGAAAGAGGTCCATGTGATGGTGGACAGTGTGGAAGGGACCAGAGTGGTAGAAGATTTACAAGTCAGAGAAGGCACAGCACCTGACCCTGTGGAAGCTGAAGGTGATGCTGAGTAGTTTAGGTCTGATTCTATGTTTAGTGAGTAGCCATCAGAATGTTTTGAATAGATGAGCACCAGGTGATCCCTATTTTATGAAGAGTCTGTTCTCTGATCTGTGATAGAACATACCGTAGTTTGGAAAAATTAGAGACTGGTAGCTGCTAAGGAGACTTGTATCCTAATACCAGTAACAGAGTTGAAATCTGATTGATGTTTTTTTCTTTTCAAGCACCCAGATCCTCTTCCAAGTGGGTGCTGTTCAAATTAACATGTATAGCATTATTAATTTTTGGGAGATCCAAATACATCTTGAAGTTTTCTAGTGGGTGACCCCCCAGCTATGAGTCCTGTCTGTAAATTCCTTCATCTGGGACACTGTATTTAAATGTTTTCTGAAAGAAAGCTATTTACATCTATTGCATATCCAGATCACCATGTTTTTTTTTTTAATGAAATGAAATAAGAAAAAAAATTGAGTTTGTTAAAAGCCTTCTGGTGTGTAGCTTGATTTCTCCTGTTAATGTATTGGCCACTACTAATTTTTATGTGTGATAATATAGTAATATTGTTTTAAGGCTTAAATCATTGTACCAATGATTTCATCATTTCTGATATCCAATCATTTTACAAGCTATTTTCATAACTTCTCATTTTTTGAAACTACAAAAAAGTCAGGTAATGAAGTTTTTATGATGAAATAAAAGCATTTTTATGGTATCCCTCATCCTTTAAACATACTAATAAAAATAGCTGAAATGGAAAAAAGTGTCTTGAAAAATCGAAATACAAAACAGACAGAAGAAAACTACCTTGAGGGGATAGGAAAAGAGATACCTACAACCCTTAAAAATAATGTGCTAAATAGTGAGATGTAAAAGATTATTAGCTCACTATCACACAGTTATTCTAAAGCCAGGGGACAATGACCAGGCACTTTCATCCTCTGCTAGGGGTTGCTGAGTCTAACACAGATTGGAATAGGGAAGATATAGTCAAGTGCATCTAAAGGGGACAGCCATAAACCAAATCCAGTCAGTTTTCATCATGCAGAAAATTACCACCACAAATTGTCAGATGATCAGACTTTTTAGAAAAGCAAGCCAGAAAGATTTTTAAATGAAGTGTTCTTATCTTTCAGAAATTGTGTGGGCCCAATAAGATTATATCTGCCAGCTGGCTTCCATCTGTGGGCTGCTAGTCTATGATCCTAGCTCAAAAAGACAAGTGTCATAATTTTTAAAGGTCTATCTAATGATTCTTTGGCTTGATATGTAGGAGGGGAAGAGAAGAGAAGGGCCCTTACAGATGCATAATTTCACAGTATGACAAGGTGGCTTGGGTATGCATATATACAGTATGAGAAGTAGAGTTGCTCATGATGAGTCTTGTAGACATGAGGTGAGCAGGGTGAGTGACAAACAAGCATCACTAGTGGGTTTTTGGAACTTCAAGGGCTCCATTGGGAGTCTCCAAGAAACTCCAAAATCAGCATTGTAGGCTTGGAGCCAGGTGCTACAAATATAGTTCATGGTGCATCTAATTTAGTTGAGTGTTGGACACAAACTCAACTTGAAACTGAGCCTACCCTGGCTCATTTTCCTCCATATACTTGTTTTTGAGCAAAGCTGGTCCATGGGATCTGCTGCAGACCCAATGACTGAAGGAGAAGTAGCCTATCAACCCATGGGCAGGCACAGCAAACAGGAGCAAATAAATCTGCAAAGGTGCAGTATGGCTCCCAGAAGTAGAAGAAAAGAAGCAAATGAGAAGACGTGCATATCTTACAGTAGGGAAAGAAACCAAAGTTCAACGGTGTCTCCATTGTCTCAAAGACAAATACTCTTCAAAGCAAGGCTGGAAGAATAAATAGAAAACACTTAAGAAAAAATAACAGAAAAGATATGAGGTTATATAGTTTTTTCTTAATGGATGTCACAGCATTCTTGTGGCTATGATACTCTTCCTCTTAGCTCCCTATGGCATCCTTTTCCAGACACACCACTCTTCACACTCACCTCAGTCCACTGACACATCCACCTTCTACACATCCAACTTTCTAGTTTTAGTTCCCAAGGAGGCAGCTTAGAATGTATAGACTGTTTCAAATAATGCCATCTCGTGGGGTTTAAGTTGAATTTCCTTTCTTATGCCAAACTCACACACTTTCTTGGAAAGGAAAAGTAAACTATTATTTCTCCCTTCCTTCTATAGTCAACAGGAATTTTTTTTTTTTGTTTTTATTTTTTGAGACAGGGTTTCTCTGTGTAGCTTTGAGCCTTTCCTGGAACTCACTTGGTAGCCCAGGCTGGCCTTGAACTCACAGAGATCCGCCTGGCTCTGCCTCCCAAGTGCTGGGATTAAAGGCGTGCACCACCACCACCCGGCAAAATAAATAATTTATTCTTATTTTTTGTGCATTGGTGTTTTGCCAGCATGTATGTCTATGAAAGGGCTTCAAATCTCGGAGTTACAAACAGTTGTGAGTTGCCATGTGGGTGCTGAGACTTGAACCCAGGTACTCTGGAAGAGCAGTCAGTGCTCTTAACCACTGAGCCATGTTTC